CATGGCAAGAAGTCTTTCAGTCCAGAAGCAGTTCGAGAGGGTTCCAGGGGAATGCACTGCATGGGGCTTCGTTTTCTACAAGACTAGTACTCCTGTTTTCGGTGATGTCTCATGCAAAAGTATTTGAAAGCTGAACTCCCGACAGTCCCACATTTAGCCATAAGGAAAATGAGGGACTGTATTTTCACCAATCTGCAGAGCACTCCATCATTTCGTTACAGTTAATGAAACGAAAGCTAATGAACGGCTTTGGGCTCAGCCTTTTTCAGCCTTCAGGATGAAAAAGAGACCTTCACCACTTCATTCACAATTGCAACTCTGGGTGGGGACATACCCAGGCACTGGACAACAACAGCATTGCCACCAGGCTTGCTCAAGAAGCAACAGTGATAGGAAGGGTGCCTTATCTGGCATAATGTCTGGCCATCCGGAATGAAGTTCGATCAAAGGTGACCTACAGGCCAACGACTCTAGACTGAAGCCAAAGGCTAGCATTATGTCCTCCAAAGAGCCCCAACCAGTATACGTGTGGTGCTAAGTGGTAACAAGCGGGAGACGAGGTCTCTAATCTACTGTAGGAAAGCAACTGAGGTAAGCAATGAGTCTTCTCGTTCCTTAACGTGGACAAGGACTGCAGAGGTGAGTGAGACAACTGGCACTTGAGGTTCAATTCGGGAGCTACTTCTGGGCACGTGGCAATGACATGGTCACTTTTTGTGCCTCAGTTTCCTCATCTACAAAATGGGGCCAGAGGAAGAGAGAACACTATTTGACAACACAGAATGCTCCTCTGTAGCCACTGCAATTGAAAAAACAATCAGAGACTGCTATGTTTTTCAGGGATCTGGGAAGCATTTTGCTTAGGTCTACCAAACAGATAGGAAAACACTGGGCCACTTCTCTCAGATTGTTTTGTAATTGGACGGGGTTCATAATGTATCTTCAAACAAGAGAAAATGGAGCTTTCTGATTGTATCAGTTTGATAACTGTAAGCAGTTCACAGTAAGGTAAGAAGGTACATTTTGGCGGAAGCCAGCGTTGCATTTGATGTATTCTTAACTCAGCTAACAGGCAGCCTTTCAAGCCACGTTATCTGCCCCCACATCTTGACCTAATTTAACAAGTTGCCATGGGAGCCCAGTGAAGGTTGATGCAATGTTCTTATCTTCGGAGGAAGAATGTAACAGTGCAAGAGAATGTGAAAATTCAGTTTCTAACTGATTTCCACACGTACAGTGCAGAAACTAAGACATCACATGAAGAAGTGAAATGCAGTCCTTTGAAGGTGATAGAGACAAAGACCCAAGCTCCCTGTGCGTAATGGCCGGGAAATGACTCTCTTCCCAGCTCGGAGGATGTATACATACACACTTTAGCTGAAGCCAAGTACTGGTGATGGAAACGAACACGGCTCCTCCTGTGTGGCCACACATACTCTGGAGTAACAGAATTTTAAGGGAATGAACAAAAAAGGAGAGAGAAAATAGGTGTGACTTTAACAGGCAATAGAAAGTTTGCCAACACTCATACAACGCTTTCCGCTTGCCAAAGGCCTCTTCCAAACTTCAGCTCATCTTAACACGTCTGCATAAGGCCAGAGCCCCATCTCTAGGAATCCCAGGCACGTGCACGCCCTGCGGCTGGCGGAGGGGGCTGAACAGGTATGTTCCATCCCCTTCCCCATCCCCTAGAGTGGACCTGAAATGATACGGGACCACAATGAGCGGGCAAGGGCAAGGGAACCACCACAGAGCATTCGTTTGCAGTGTGGACAGATCTCCACCAAGCACTGAGCCCAGGAAAAATGTCCCCAAAATTTGGGCTGGCCCCCCCACACGCCTAACAAATCCTGACCTTCACGCAGACCACAGCAAGAAGAAAAAATCTAGTCCAAGTCTAAGGACAATTCTCACTACACGAATTCGACAAGATCATGAACCCTCAAGGGCTACTCCTGGCCCTTATCTGCACTCAACAGTGCTCAGAAACATTTGTTGGAACAACTGGTTTGTTACAACTGAGCTCCCAACCCACACCCCCCATGCTTAGTATCATGCCTAGCACTCCTTTGCTTCATTAACTGATTTAATGCAATTACATTTGCCCAGATCTCCCACCACCAAGATAAGGATGAACACCTTCCACTTTACTAAAAGTAGAAAAGGGTACAAGGTAAATTTGCCTAAAATCACACAGTGTGGTAGAGCTGGGGGGCAGCCCAGGGGACTTCTGTTTTCTGGGCTATTGTTCTCACCACCATATGAGACAGGGTGAAAAGCTGTATCCCCAGTCATAAAGCAAAACTGGATGGTGAGATGCTTAAAACGTGCTTTAAATGCAAGCGGCTGCTTTAGTCTTCGAGGCCTTTAACTGACAGTCACCTTCCCTCTTCTTCCACTCACTGGGTGTTATACTCCCTTAGAGAAAGAGAGAGAGAGAGAGAGAGAAAAGAAGGAAGAAAGCAAGAGCACCTTTTAAAAACAACCCACTCAGGGGCGCCTGGGTGGCTCAGTCGGTTGAGCATTCAACTCTTGATTTCAGCCCAGGTCATGATCCCAGGGTGTCGTGGGATTGAGCCCCATGTCAGGTTCTGTGCGGAGCGTGGAGCCTGCTCAGGATTCCCTCTCTTTCTCTGCCCCTCCCCCTTCTTGCACACATTCTCTCTTTCTCTAAAATAAAATAATTTTAAAAAATCCATCCAAATCAGGGGTGACATCAGCCATAACTCAGACCTCCAGAGCACACCTGTATTTCTGCTGAAAGAACTTACTGATGCTCCTATCTATTTGGCTCTGAGCTGGACTTCCAGGGAAGCCTCGCGGGCAGCCGGCTGATGCTGGGCCATCTTGATGGCAGCTCATGTCTCTAATTTGTATTTCATATTCATTCTGAATTCACAGTTCATCCCTTCCTGTCTCTCCCTGAAACAGGGACACTTGGAAAGATTCTCAGATAATTCTTTCGAGGTACTAAGATCATCTCAGTCAAAACCCTTTCAGTCACTCTTGTAGACTGTTAGCTCGGCAGGCTTCTCCCACACAGGAAATCCAATAACTAAGACATGTAACACTTTCAGAGGGGTTTCTATTAGAGGCGGAGATCGGGCTGCCACCCCTCCCAGAAACTCCTAGATCTGCGCAACGGCCAGAGATCCCGACCAGAATCTTATCCCATGAAGGGCGACCGAAACCATCAGGCTTTCTCTGGCCATAATCCAAACTTTAGAACTTAGGGGTCAGTTTCCTTAATCTCATTATCCACAAAACCACCCTCCCAAGCCAAGTTTTCATGATCACATACCTACCTAAGACAGACTGATGAAAACTGCCACAGGAGAAACATGGTCTGTGGATGCTGGTGGTGAGAAGGGTGATTATGCCAGAGAGAATACAGAAACACCTTCAGCGAGGGGAAACTAAGTTCAGGACTTGGTACCGGAAGTCAGGGTTGAGGCCGAAGAAGGGCTGGCCTTTACATTTGGCAAACGGCAGAGCACGGATCTCCCCGCACCGCGAGAACAGAAGCAAGCGTGACCAGCTAGAGACCCCGCCACCTCCCAAGCCCACACAGTCATGCTGGAGGTTCCTGGGTCTTTCCTTTCTCCTCCTAATTAAGCTGCATGACTCCCCACTCCTTCCTCAGTATCCAACTGGAGTCTGGGGCTTAAAATACCCAGGAGCTGAGACTACAGGAGCCAGCACTCTTATACACCTTGAAAGAGGCTGAGTATATTTTTTGAATATACACCTCGAATACACTTTTCCTCATTCCAGAAGTCATTAATGGAAAGGGGCAAACTTTCTAACAGTCTGCTGTCTGGAGATGGGAGAGGACTCCCTTGGAAAGCAGCACTTTTCCACATGCTAGTGACATTCAAGCAAAGACTGTGGGAAGCTACCATAAAAAGAACAGGGTGCCTTTCTGGGTCCTGACTCTGTATAGACCTTGTTGCTACCTTAAAACACAGAAATAATAATTCCTGGCCACCGCTCCATGCAAGGAACTGCACCAGGAGCTAAATGGAATAGACAGCACGAAAGACACACTCCTGAACTTTAAAGGTGGAGTAAATTTTCTCAGCCTTTGAGTCGTTCTCAAAGGTCAGCTGGCTTCCCTAGTAAGACCCTGAGAGTTCCCTGCTAGAAGAATGAGGATCAAGCCCGCTTTTGAGATCAGCCAGGCACCGCCCTAGAAACACAGGTATGACGATTTGCCTCCATCCACACGAAGGGTGCCCCATGTACACCTGTCCAGGGTGGAGTCAAGTACAAGAGAATGGTGGCCTACACAGCAGAGTAATCAAATCTTAAAATAAGCTCCACTCAAGCAACATAATTTCTAATTCTTAGAAAACACTACAGTCTTCTAGAAAGGATCTGACAGTTAATACATTAACGTTCCTTGGATATTTCACAGATACCCTCTTCAAAAGCCTCCAAGGTTAGGCAGCACGTGGGCTACGACACATTCAGACAATGAACTGTTTGATTACCCAGATTCTCCATCAAAGCCTAAGCTCTCAATATCCACCTCCCACACCCCATGCTCTTTCTTCATTCACTCGTAGAAGAAAATCAGTAACAGAGCTAAGTGAGAAAAAAAGCAAGGGTTTCCCAACAGAGAGGCCAGGATCTGGACAGCATAGGGTGACCAAGGGCACTTTTACCATTTGAACGGCCAGCCGATTGAGAACTCCCCTATAGAACAATCTAGAGTGTAAGCCATTCCATGATGCCTCTGAGGAAGAAGTTTTCCCTACCACTCTTGGAAATGATCCCTTGGGATAGAATGACACTGTTTACTTCCAAAAGTCAATGGTTATTCACAGAATGGGGGGACAGATGGATCGGATGTCTTAGAGGCTTGTTCGTCCCAGCTCCCCCTCAAAAAAGAAAGAGGCTGACTTCAGTCTCTAGGGACATGCACACGGTGCCTTCTACTGAACCCACCCATGGCAATAAGCACACAGAGGCGGCTGAGGTGGGGGCAGGGCGCCTACCTGTGTAGCCCGCCAGGGCGGCAGCAGGAATGACAGGCTTGTCCTTGTTGAGGTCAGCACGGTCACGCACATAGTCCTTGAAGGTGCCCTTGGGCTTGTGGTTGGGCAGGGCGGCTGGATAGTCCTCTGAGTCGAAGCTGTCATAGGAGGGGACGCGCTGCAGGCTGTTGAAAGAGGACTGGCTGCTCCAGGACTGGGTGAGGCGGTCACAACTGTCGTAGCTCTCCACGCTCTCAAAAGAGTCCTGGCCTCCGAGCTTACCTGGGGGAAAAGGAGGTGGGAAGAGGGCAGGGGGAGAGGAATTGGGAAAAGACAACTGTAAAAACCCTCTCAGTGACGACGGATTGCTCATCAGACCCGAAGGAGGGATGGAAGAATGGAGAGGCCAGTGGAAACGGAAGCATATGGGTGTCCGGGGGGGTAAGGCGCCTCACTGGGCCCCATCCGCGAGCCCACCGCCACCGTGTTGTCCTGTGTTACAGCCCCTGGGACAGAGACTCAGCTGCATGTTGCTCTTATCAGTCAGAGGGGCACAGGAGTGTTCAGAACCAGAATTCCAGAGCCAGAAATCCAAGAGCAGAGCATCATACACGGTATTACAGAATTTCTGGCTGACGCAGTAGACTCAACGAAGAGATAAAGAAATCAGAGCAGTGTCAGGCTTAACTCCCTACTCCACATCAGGCCAATGAGATGATTTCAAAAGGCCCAATTTGGCAAAATGCTTTGGTCATAAGAAAAAAAAAAATTTCCACTAGACTAAGAGCAGATTCACCTTCCTTGACCTTGGAACTGAAGTGTTATTTTTTAGCATTTTTTCCAAATACTATTTTTAAATGAAATACATGCAATGCCTCTATGCCTTCTCAAGTACAGAAATAAGTTATGAGATGCTTTTTTCCAAGAGATTAAAAAACAAACAAACAAACAAAAAACACTATCGCTCTTCTATCCATGTTCTTTGTCCTCTCCAAGTACAATTTTGTACTTGGAATTTATACTTCACTGGGGGAGTGTGGCCAATAAAAAACAAAGGAGCTGATTAAAGAGTTAAGGTCCATAGCAATGTCAGAAATCCTTTACTCTAGGAGTTGCTTCAGGCATTCTTAACTGACCACAAGATCATGCAAGTTCATTAATTTCCCAAACCAGGTTACAAACAGCTGCTGTGATTGCATAATAGCTCCTAGAGAAATTTCCATTGGCAAAAATGCCATTAAAAAGGAGACTAACCAAAAAAATAAATAATTTGGAGGAAAATAAATGTATCTAAAAGCTAAAAAGCTCACAGGAATGTGTTCTATGTTCTCCTTCCAGACAGTTTTCAGACAACCTAACCTAAACTAAATCCCGGGAGACTAAATGGCCATCTCGATTCAGCACTAGCCAAGAGGCAAAAGGATGTGACAAATGTATATGCAGAAATACTACGTCAACTCTCAGTTGTTCAGAGGTGGCTGGTCTACTAGAAAGCTTAAAGCCCAGAGTAAGATTGGCCTATACAAGCTAATACTGGTGGGTTTCTGGTGTATTCTCCCCTTCATAATAGTGGGGGTTGTGGTTAGCACAGTGTAATTCAAATATTTAATTATGGTATCCAAACTGAAACTAAATATATACTAATTGGGAAGGAAGATATGTTGCTCATAAAATTTAAACAAACAACCACAAAATCCAAGATAAAAGGTATTCACCTAAATATATACTTTTTTGTAAAGCCACTGTTACAGATTTCCTGAGCCCCTTATCCCCTCCAATACTGCTTTACCTACTTAATCTCATTCCTTCCTCAAATCATCCATTCGAAAGGTAGTTATTTACCTACTTAATCTCATTCCTTCCTCAAATCATCCATTCGAAGAAGAGTAATCTCCAGAAGTCAAACCAAAGAGCTCCATGGGTTACTGGCTCTGCCTACCCAGTCCACTGGCACGTTTGCAAGTCTTTATTATTATGACAAATGAAAGAATTGTCTTTTCCAGAAAATTCACATTACAAGACTCAAGAAAACAGCCTACAATGCGAATGCAATAGCCTCTTTTGAACAGAACAGGAAATTTTGTGGTGTCTCATAAAAAGGTGTTGACTAAGACCAGCTCTCCATCTTAATGGTCATTCAATTTCTCTGTGAGACAAACACACCGATAGAAAGCCGAAGAAAGAGAATTTTTTTTTCATGAAGAACACCCCACCCGAGTCGCCAGTATTTAGGTGGTATTGATACGTAAATCTCTCTGAGCCGATCCTACCTCCGTATATTTGGAGGCCGTGGAGAATGGAATTTCCACAAGCAGGAGAGCTGAGTTTCCAAGGAGCCCCAATAAGCAAGGGCACTAAACTAGGCCATAACCACCCTCTGGCAGCCTCTCAAACATGAGCCAAATGTAACTCAGTGGAGAGTTGTGGTTTATGGCAGTAGGCTGCTTTCTTTTAGCTCTATTTCACAATCCTGGAGCTGGGAACCTTCGTTTACGGGTATTTTCTCCAAAAATGGGTTGAATCCAACTGGATTAGGCACTCAGTTATGCTACTGTGCTCATGCAGGGAAGCATGTGCTCTCGAAGACGTCCACTGGCAAGCTTCTCGGAGAAATGGCTCAGAGCAAGTTCCGTCCAAAGCTATCGGACTCCACCAAAGAGACCTCAGAGCACTCTGAACAGTGGATGGGGTAGCCCCACAGCAACCCGCTGCACAGACTAACACAAAGACAGTACTCAGAGTCCAAATAAGTGGGACACAGAAGCACTTTGTATACTATAATGCTGTACACGAATACCACGATTATTACTACTAATAATCCGCTAACAGTGATGCATTCATTCGAACCAATCACACCATGGCCGTTTCCATCAGCCCCTGGAATATGTCATGTTTGCGGAACTTCTCAACTGCAAAAAAGCAGCCGTGAGCAAAATGGTCTTCCTCCCCAGTTCGTGTGGTCAGTCTGTCGTAAGGGAAGGAGAACGAGGCCAGAGAGAAACACCTCACGCCCCTTCGTCCGGGTCACTCTCTGGTCCACAGTCACTGACCGTGGGGTCAGAAGGATGCTGGGGCCCAAAACCAAGAACGAGAGAAGGAGGGGGAGAAGGGACAATCACACAAACGCAAAGCCAGACGCAATTTAAAAACAGCGTGACGGCAGAGCTACCCGAAGTTATGCCACGGCAGAGCCCAGCCCTCACACTCGGCCTCATCGCATATATGTACAGAAAGCCCCATGAGAAAGAGTTCTACTGCTTTGACCTGCCTGGAAAAAAAAAAAAAAGCGCACACATAACACATGTGTGTGTATGTATTTAAATAGACATGCATCCAAAAATAAAAAAAAAAAAAAAAAAAAAAAAAAGAGTCAGAAAGGGGAAGGCAAAACTGGTTCCACCCATCCCCTTCGGTCTGAAACACAAACACCCTGGGGCCCTAAGACGGAAGATTACAGGTTCAGATTTTGCTAGGGACTTTCCCTCTGCAGGGCCTACTGCCTACCCTAAGTGCCTGCTGGGAGGAAGTGTAAGCCTCACACTCAAAGAAGATGACAATGTGTATGGCCCCTGCTGCCTGTAGAATGATTCTTCAAAGTGAAGATGTCTTTGGGCTCCCCTCTGAGAGGCTCAGAAGAGGCAGCAGAGGGATTCATCACTGAGCAGAAATCACTCCCAGGCCAGCCCAGCCTGTCTTCTGTGGCCGAAGCGCTCAGAGCACCAGCTCGAGGAGCTTTCTCCTGTTCCTCTTCCTGTTTGTAATTTTTCTCCATTTATCCATTGGAAGAAGAGTCTTTTTTTTTTTTTTTCCAACTTTCTAGAAATCAGCTCATTCTTCCTCGACGAACAAATATCTCCTGACAGAAGACTACTTTTCTCAGAAACAAAACAATCTGGACACTTCACGAGGTGGGCGTGTGCCTCTGAGTGTTGATGTCCTGATCTTAAATTCGGGTGTGCTTGACCTTTCTTTGCTTTATAAAGTCAGTCAGCTCTATTTTGAAACATTTACTTCCCTGTCAGTGAATGTTTTATCATTGTCCTAAGAGTCGTGTCAACAAGAGTACCTTCTTTTGGAAGCCTCTGGCCACCTTGTTCCCTGGTCCTCTAGCTAAATAGTACACATTTCCACCACACTGCTGATGACCGATTCCAAATAATCCACTGGTTTACCATCTTGTGTCTTCCCAAACCAAAGAAGTCACCGGAGGCTAGAGAGCCCAGGCGAAGCAGAGGTCATTCAGATACCAAGCCAGGGTCTACGGTCTGATGCAGAAATACTCTAGGAGGAACACTAGGGCACATGTGGAGTTCAGGGCTTTCCAGGAGGGTCACCTGAACCATTTTTAACTGGTTGTGTCTTCTTGAAGCAAAATTCTCCCAAAGAAGATAAATCATACCTTTAAAAACCACCACACTCAACCAGTTATTATTTAATAAAATATCTTACCCAAGTAAGAAATGTGACTGGTCACCATGCCAATTCCAGCATGGACACCATGGTCTTTGTCACGATGGTGGACCTGGCTAAAATTCCAGGTTGGAAAGCCCTTAATATCTACCTATTCTTGGGACCTGGAAAAGTCACAAAGTTAGGTAATTTCTCGGAAACCCAAGAGCCTCTAGAGAAGAAATCGGACCTACCACGACTGGTCCTCCCCATGCACATGTTGTCTGGGGTTACAACTTCTTGTTTGATGGCGAAGTAGTCCGTCTGCAAAGTGTCTGTCTGCAGAGGGTCCCGGAGAATGACCGAGGGGTAGTCGTTCTCATACTTGAGGGAGAGGAGTTCCTCTGAGCTGATGGGATGGAGAGTCTGGTAGGACTCTGTAATGAAGCTAGGCTCTGAGAACTCCGAGGGAGGAACGCACTGAGCATGCTCGATACCATAACCTGGAAACAGAGAGCGTGTGCCATTGGAGAGAGGGCCAATTTGCACCTAAGATAAGCACATCTTCACCATTTACAATAGCCCCACAAGCTGAAAACAAGCTTACTACCTTAGAGATTGAAAGGAACATATTTTAAGTCAGGAGGGCCTGGGTGTTTAACCTTGCTCTACTACTGAACAAGATACTTCCTTGACAAGATACTTCCCTTTTCTGGCTTAATTTACACATCTCTAAAATGGGGATGATTGCAATCTTCCTCAGAGCGTTGTGATAAAGATCAAAGGAGAGTGTATGTGTAAACTGCCTACCAACACTTGCCATCTTGGAGTGAATACCACTGTTGTTATTAGAATAAAAATCATAATAAACCGGTAAAATGAAAACAACCTGCTCAAGACTCCCTTCCAAAGCAAGGCCATCAGATAAGAACAGCCCTACCCTAATTCTCTTCTTCTGGCCACCTCTCCAGTATGGTTGGGTTGTCATATCCGCTAGTAAAAGGGAAAGAGAAAGGGCCACAGCCATATCTCTAACCCAACCCTCTGATGGCCAGCATGGTGCACGGGATCAAATAAGGTCAAAGTTCAGGGGTCAAGTTGTAGTCTCTCTGCATGACTTTTATGCTGAAGATATCAGAGAGAGAGATCCTGGCGTGGAGGAGTTCGCAGGTTAATAAAAACATCAACATGTAAATAGGTTGAAGCCTTGTGCCTTGTGGGAATAACAAAATAAATAACATAGAGGCTACAGTTAAGAAAATATTATTTTCCACAGAATTACCACAAAGGAGCCTGAGATCATCTGGGACAGGAATCCTTTCCTAGGTCCCATCATAGGAAGAAAAAAACCACAGGAGACGAGTGAAAGGCGAACTTACTAATGAAGTAATCCGAGGTATAGCGGGATTCTGGATAGGTAGGGTTCACTCCATTAACTTGATATGGTTTCACATCCTCTGTAACAGACAGGGCGAGGAACAAAACAAAGAGGTCAACGCGCAAGTAACGTTTGGCCTAAAAGGACCTTGGACACAAGGACTGCAATGATCTCAGTCCCTCTTCTAAGAAATCTGCATGTTCATTAACTGAGCTGGTGTCTGAGTCTACCCTGACTGGGGCCTTGTCTAGAAATGAGATCACAAAAGTATGGCTAAGTCTATTATTTCAGTAGCTGCAAAATGGTATTTAATATCTTGGAAAGAACACCAGTGAGTAATCTCCAAGGGCTGGGAAGGCATTCCACCCTCATTCTAATGGACGCGTGTACCACATTACCATCGGAGGCTTGGGAAGTTACCAGCCCAACACTCAGGCTGATGCGTTCCAAAACTTTTTGGAAACATATTACAATCTTTAGGTAGGTTGATTTTAACTTCTTCTAACAGAAGTCTGGTTTTTGTGTTGTGTTTTTTCGATCGCCCCACATTTCAAGTGTGGGCCCAGAGGAGAACAGGACACTGGTAAGGTGACTCTTTGGTGGATGTGGCAGGGCTTGTACAAAGAGAGAAAACAGTTATCACCAACTGCTGCTGGTGACCTGGTGCTAACTCCCCTTGGAAGGAGAAAGGAATGTAGGCGAATTAACTAAGCACAGACAAGGTCTCCGCTGAACGAAGGTAAATTCAGGATCCTCTCATTACCCTGGAATCCAGTGCCGTGACCTCAGCCATTGTATGGAGGGGTCTGATTCTGTTTCACAGTAAGAATCAGACATAAAGAGGGAGTATTGGCTTGGGTTTTTTCCTCAGATACCTGATAGCTTGTTGGGAGCAGAGACTGCTGGGAAAACAAGTTTCTGCCTGCACCGAAAAAACAGTTCCCAGTCGAGATAAAAATGATTAAACTCTGCTTTAGCAGCTTATCAGATTGAAACATCCCTGTACCTTTGGCCTTCCACCCCACCCCAAACAGCTATGTTCTGTTGCTCTAGTTTAATTACAGAACAAAAGCCATAGCCTCCACGCAAACACGCTGCTCAGCTCTTCAAGGATCTGAAGGGAGATGGTTCTTTACTGCCTCTCCCAGTAGAAAATGGGTAGGACGAGAGGACTCGTGTTCGCAAACATCTTCAATTATTTCCCCATCTGCCTAAATTCTATTCCATTATGCCTTGGCGGGGAGCAACTAAGCTACACCTGTCTCAGGGACCCAGAGGCTCCCGCAGGAGTTCACATTATTATACAAAGAAGGCAGGGCAGGAAGTTCAATCAAAGAAGACCTACGTCTAAGGAAATGAGCGATCTAGAGGAAACCACCTAATCTGCCCTCATTTTACAGATGAGGACACCAACGGCACCCGCGCTACTCTTCCCATCTCACGGGGCTGTTTTGAGAATCCAGAGACAACACGTATTTGAAAGCACTCCGGGAACAAGGAGGGGCTGCGCAGTTATTAACGACAGCTGTGATCACAAACGCTCCAGAAACACCTGGCGGCTCCATGGAGCTCAAGAGAGGGAAACGGCGTATCAGTAGAATATATTTGGGTTACACGGTCTGGTAGAACCCACCTTTGTGTTTATACGCCAATGGTTACATCAGATCTGTTATGAGCCTGCCCCATCTCTTCCCTTTATAAACAGGTCACTCGTGTCAACACGTAGGAGTGGGTGTTTGTGCAGTCACAGGGACATGTCGGGGTTTCGGGAAGCCTGTGCCCGGCCGTCCTCAGGCCTCAGGCGTGGTAGCCGCAGCGAGATTCACCTAGTTCTTGACTGCGTTTATTTATTTATTTTCCGGCAGAGGCGGAGGAGAAGGAAGATAACACCTCTGGGCCCAGAGGAATCTAATTTGGGGCTCTCCTGAGCATCGCGGAGTGGAAAATCTCCTCGAACAAAGGAAGGTATTATATGGAATAAAAGTTCTAATCCGGAGCTCTGCTCCCCGCCCCCAGCGTCTGCGCCACGGGCTGGAGCTGGTGACCACAGGGAAAGGGTGGGCCTGGGTCAGAGAGGCCACCGGGCTTCTAGGCTTACAGTCAGCTGGAGGGCACCGCTGAATGCTGGTAACTGCAATTTATTTTAAGAAGAAATTCAGAAAAATAAGTGCAAAAACACCCAAGTTTGCCGCCTGCTGCTGTTTCTATACTCAGCCAGGACTGTGGTACATGAGTCACTTGGTCCAAAAAGGTTGGAAGAGGCTCGTAGGGGAGGCCATGTCATTACAAGGTTGCAACATGGTATCCTGACATGACCCCGGTGTCTGTTCTGGATGACAAAGGTATACCACACCGCTGTAACCCCAACCCCGTTACTGGGCAGGGAAGCCGGTCTTACTAGTTAGCTCCGAGCATCGAAGCTTTCTTGCGGGATGTGGACAGGTACCACACTGCCATGAATCAAGGGAATGGGTATGAAGACTGCCAGGCAAAAAACAAAAAACAAAAAAAACAAAAAAACAACTATCTGTCTTGGAGCTGGCCGAAGACACTGCTCGAAGAGAACATGAGTTTGAGATACGGACGGAGATGAGAATTTTGCATCGCAAGAAGCGTCCAGAGTGCAATCTTGTGAAATATTACAATCTGGACCCCTAATACACAGGAGAAAGAGAAACTAACATTTACTAAGCACCTGCCACACGCCAGCCTGACATGCCTCCACAGCGCGTATGAAGACCTCGAGGGGACACCCACACATCATGGCATCGATGTCCCACCATTGGGTGTGTTCCCTCACCTACCGCTGCAGCAGCCCCACCCGGCCTCCACACCGTTACCTTTCTGCAGGATCTCGAGATGTTCCCACAGAATGTCCCCGACGAAGTCCGGGGCCAGCTCGAGAAAGCAGTCTTTCCCTAGCGCACAGAGAGCTGCTCCATTCATACAGAACTTCTGGAAGTCCACACCTTTCAGGCTGAACTCATTCACAGCCCACATCACCCAGTCCCGCACATGGGTTTCTGTCCACTGCCGGGGGTCTGAGGAAAGAGAGCAAAGGGAGATCCAGCAGGTCACGTTTTACCTCTTGCCCATGCCCCAGACAGGACATTAAAGGATCTGAATGTACTGAGGATGCTCTCTCATTTACAGATTTAGGAAGCACCCGCCTATAAAGGCATGTTGTGGGGCACCTTTTATAATACTCCCCCCCGACACTCAACATCCCCAACTTCTCTATCTCGCCAGTTAGGAGATCACTATCATCGACCAAAAAAGTAATACATGAGAGTATTCTCCACCCTTCATTAAAAAATTCACGAAGCTCCTCTCTCACTGCCTTATTTTCATTAGGGTTTTTGTTTTGTTTTTTTTTTTAAGTCCAGGACAAAGGAACAAAATGGCTTCTTTAATAGCAATAATGACAGTCAAGTCCGTTCTAGAGATTGCACTCACCTGCCCCTGCTCTTCACCGTTATAACTGACTTGAGGCATTATCATTAATCATTTTTACCTTGGCTAATTACAACTAGTAATAATCATAGCAACTAGTAACAGTAAGTCAAACGGTATTTGCTAATAACGATATTATCAGGTGCCTGTGTTCATCACACCAGACATCCTGCAAGGCTGGAACAGCATCAGAGAACAGACAATACATACTCTTCCTACGTGGCCTGAGGTGGAACGTGAGTACATCAGCGTGGCCCTCACAGAGTTCAGAGGGCGGCAGGCTGTGGTGCTCACACCAGACCTGCTGTCAAGGTCACCCCCTTCAATCTAGCAGATGACTTTATGAGATGCGGGCAAGCCAGTGGTCAGAATTCCCTTTGTGAATATTCTGCTTTATGTTCTTGATAAGATGTTGGACATTGCTGTCAGCTGAGGTTTGTGGGAAAGTAGGACATACACGAGAGAAGGTTTGGAGACGCATTCACAGAATCTAACATGGGGGTCTGACTGGGCTGGAAGCAATAGACAGTGTTACCCTTACTCAACAGAAAAGTATTCTTTCTGCTCTCAATTGTTCAGGAAATGTTGCTTGCTGAAGGCTTAAGTGTTCTCCAGTCATTTGTCCTTTCTGACAACTCCAGTCCCCTTACATTCCTAAATAAACCCTTTCAGATGAGAACACCCAAGTATAAACACATTTCACCAAAGTACATGGAAAAGAAAAGAGCGATCAGTTAAATTCCAAGGAATGTAGCTCGCTGAGTTCATCCAATGATGGCCCGGAATGACTTGAAGACTGTGTTTTCCAAGCTTGTCTGTGCTTTGGAATTGCCTGAGAGGCTTCAAAAATACTGATGCCACAAGGAATTGCATGTTAATGGGTCTGAGACATGGCCCCCGGCTAGGGATTCTTTGAAGATCCTGAATCTCATGTGCAAATAAGTTTGGGAACCACTGTCCTAAGACCAAGATGGCAGTTGTCAAACCCGGCAGATGGGGAAACATTAGCATGGAGGCACTGACCAAAGTATGATTAGCAATCATGTCTATCTCACTCTATAGGTGAGAAAACTGACCTCACCTAAAGGCCTGATCCCATCTCTTTTTCTATCAACAACATACCTTTGGGAATTCCCAGTCGTTGCTGTTCTTTAGAGAAACCACTGAAAGTAGCTTTCAACGCTTGAGACATCATTTCTTTGCTGCTTGGAGTTAACAGTGGGACATCGGCACATTCCATATCTGGAAGAAAAAAAAAATACCCTATGAACAATAAAAACAACACGGGCGGGGCGCCTGGGTGGCGCAGTCGGTTGGGCGTCCGACTTC